AATTAAATTTTTACAATTAAATAATAAACCAGCAACTGAATCATGACGGGTAAAAATTCCTGTCAATGTGAATTATATCAATAGTGTCAAGCAGTGCTATTTATTTTTTTCAATCTTAATCTCTTGGGGATCCACTAGTGACCTCTTATGGATCTCTGGGTGTTAGTGGAACCCCAGCTGAGAAAGGCTGCAATGACCAGGCTCAATGTATCTTATTTCAGACACTTTATGCAAGACCTACTGTAGCTCTGTGGAGAAGCTTTAATGCTGGGAAAGGTGAGCTCTACTTCTGCCTTGGCCACAAGGCCAGCTGGGGGACATCAGGCCAGTTCCTCTTTCTTAATTCTAGGAATGAATCAGAATACAGCTGGAAGCAACCTTGGAGGACTTCTAGTCCAGGGGTCTCCAACCTTGACAACTTTAAGCCTGGCGGACTTCAATTCTGGGAGTTGAAGTCCTCCAGGCTTAAAATTACCAAGGTTGGAGACCCCTGTTCTAGTCCAACTACCTGCTCAAGCAGGAGAGCCTATACCAGTGATGGCTAACCTTTTTGCCATCGCGTGCCAGGAGAGGGGGGGCGGGGGAGGGTCACGCACGCACGTGCCCACGCACATGTGCACACAACCCCACCCACCCCTGCTCCTGGCACATGATGGCCTGGTAGGTCTCTCTAGGAGTCTCTGGAGGCTGGGGACAGGAAAAAATGTCACTTCCTGTCCCACCGGGAGTCGGGAAATGGGCCTTTTCAGCCTCCGTAGGGCCTCCAAGGGAGTGGGAAAGGCTGTTTTCGCCCTTCCCAGATGCATAGAGAGGATCTGGAGCCAGGTAAGAAAAAAAAACGGGCCTCCCCCCCCCCCAGGGCCTCCGGAGGCAGAAAACAGCCTGTTTCCCTACTTCTGGTGGGCCCAGAAGGCCCGAAAATCAGCTGGCCAGCGCGCACATGTGCCCCAGAGCTAAGCTGGAGTGCCCACTAATATGGCTCCGCGTGCCACCTGTGGCACGCGTGCCATAGGTTCGCCATCACGGGCCTATACCATTTCAGATAAGTGGCTGTCCGGTCTTTTCTTAAAAACCTCCATTGACGAAGCACCTACAGCTTCTGAAGGCAAGCTGTTCATGAATGAGTCAACAGCAAACCACTTCTGAAAAAAACTTTGCTAAGAAAACTGCAGTCTTTTTCAGGCAGTCGCCAGGAGTCAAGACTGAATTTGAAAGGGCAAAAAAAATAAAAAATAAAATAAAAAAGGAATATAAGCATAAACTTATGCTGAACACAGTACGAGATGAAATAAATGGACCACGCATTGATTTCTTAGGCATTACCAAATTGAAATGAATCAAAATTGGGCACTTTTAGTCAGGAAATCTACTATTTCCTAATTGGGATTTGAAAAACAAGGCCAGGAAAGATGCAGTCAATGACCAAATAATAACAATTAGATTTCACAGACAATTCTTTAATATGATAGTTATCTCAGTTTCATAGATTGATTGAAGAGTGCAACTTAATAAAAGATTTCGGGGAGCCATGTGAAGAGACTAGAAGCAGTATTACAATGAATGTCTGTGAAAACAGACACAGAATAACAAGGAAAGTTTTCAGAGACATCTTGAAACTCAGAAGCAGCTTCTAATCTTTAATTGATATGCTACAGGATATCATTGGAAAGATAGTAACTGATTTAAAGAATATCCTACAGAGATACTGAAACTCTGTAGAGTTATAAAAATTAAGACACTTTAGAAGATATTCCCTATTTACAAGAACATCTAATACTAGAAGTTGAAATTGGATCAGTATTCTCGATCAAGAAGTTGGAAGGCTACAGGAATTGATGGATTTAGTTAGCAGCCACCAGACCAGACCCTGGGCAGCTTACAATAGAATGGAATGGAATAGAATAGAATTCTTTATTGGCCAAGTATGATTGGACACACAAGGAATTTGTCATGGTGAATATGCTCTCGGTGTACATAAAAGAAAAGATACATTTGTCAAGAATCATAAGGTACAGCACTTAATGATAGTCATAGGGAAACAGTCAATATAAATCTTAAGGATACCAGCAACAAGGTTACAGTCACACAATCATAAGTGGGAGAAGATGGTTGATAGGAACGATGAGAAGATTAATAGTAATGCAGACTTAATAACTAGTTTGACAGTGTTGAGGGAATAATTTGTTTAGCAGTGATGGCATTCGGGAAAAACTGTCCTTGTGTCTAGTTGTTCTGGTGTGCAATGCTCTATAGCGTCGTTTTGAGGGTAGGAGTTGAAACAGTTTATGTCCAGGATGCGAGGGGTCTATAATTTTCACAGCCCTCTTTTTGACTCGTGCAGTATACAGATCCTCAATGGAAGCCAGGTTGGTAGTAATTGTTTTTTCTGCAATTATCCTCTGAAGTCTGTGTCTGTCTTGTTGGGTTGCAGAACCAAACCAGACAGTTATAGAGGTGCAGATGACTTACAACTCAACCAATGGAATTTGAAGCATATCTACAGATATGTAGCAAGCAACAGAAAAGAATTATTAGTTCTAACCAAGCCATCTCAGCAAATATAAAGAATGTCACAGTGAGCCATAGACTGGAAGAAATGAATGTACGTGCCATTTACCAGAGGAGGACTTAACAGATTGTGCAAGTTGTCATACAATATACTTAATTTCATGTGCTAAGAAAATAATGCTTACAGTAGCATCCTCCAATACAGATTTAGAGACGCCAGATGTTCAAGCCAGTTTTAGAAAAGGCCAAAGACATTATTGCTGATGTATGTTGGATAATTGAGAAAGCCAAAGAATACCGAAAAGAAGTTGATATATACTTCATTCATTATAGAAAAGCCTTTGATTGTGCCAATCATGTCAAGTTTTGGAGTGTCCTTAGGAAAATGGAAATTGCAGAACATCTTATTGTTCTTATGTACACAGAACAGGAAGCCACAGTCTAGACTCTAGACAGAACATGGTGAAACAGGCTGATTCCAGGTTGGCAAAGGAATGAGACAAGGTTGTATCCTCTCCCCTTATTTATTCAACTTGTACACCGAATATATGTTAAGGAAACCTCAATGGATTGGAAGTAAGTACAGTTTTAAAATCAGAACAAGAAATATCGATTACTTGCACTATGCTGGTGATAATATTCTGATAGCTGAGAATAAAAATGCAAATGATCTGCAGGTTCTAATAATGAAAGCCAAGGAGCATACTTAAAAATGAGACTAAGTTAAAGATTTAACTAACGACAGCAGGCTAGGTAGAATTGACAGTGAAGGTAGTGAATGATGGATAGCTTTTGCCTTTTAGGAGCCAGCAATCATGAAATACGTCACAGATTGGAATATGGTAAAATAGCAATAGCAATAGCAATAGCACTTAGACTTATATATCGCTTCACAGTGCTCTACAGCCCTCTCTAAGTGGTTTAGAGTCAGCCTATTGCCCCCAATAATATGGGTCATCATTTTACCTCAGAAGGATGGAAGTCATCCTTGAGCCTGGTGAGATTTGAACTGCCAAACTGCAGGCAGCTGGCAGTCAGCAGAAGTAGCCTGCAGTACTGCACTCTAACCACTGCGCCACCACAGCTCAAAATAGCAAGGAAAACGATGGTAAAAATGCCAGCATGTGTTTATACTTACAAAAATCAGAATCGTGCCAGTCTCTGTGACAATCTATGGAAATGAAAAGCTGGACTTTGAAGAAGAAATCCCAAGATTTAGATAAACTAGAACATTGGAGAAACATCTTTCTAAATAACAAAAACATTTCTGTTTTGGGACAAAAAACCCCAAGTAAATTGGTTAATGAAGTCATTGCCCTGATTTAAGAGACTCTATTCATCAGTGAAAAATTCCCAGTGGAAACCCACTCAACTACAAAGCTTTTATAAACATTAACATGATCCTCATTTAATGAAGCAACACAAATCAAGCAAATCTATCACATTAGCTCCAAAACCCCACAGACAACTAAACCTACATGGAAAAAGAACACCATGTTTTTTCTTCTAAAATGCAAGGAATCTAGGACAGCACCCAAAGTATTTGCTTTATGTTTGGATGTTTTCATTTGCATTTCCAGCAGGTAAGCCATTGCATTACTTTGAATGTTCCTAATGTTACACATATACAGGTAGTCCTCAATTTACAACAGTTCATTTAGTGACGTTCAAGGATAACAACAGCACTGAAAAAAGTGATTTACGACCGTTTTTCACTTATGACCGTTGTGGCATCCTCATAGTCACATGATCAAAATTCAGATGCTTGACAACTGATTCATATTTATGATGCCTGCAGTGTCCAGGGATCATGTACCTTTTGCAAGCAAAGTCAATAGGGGAGCCAGATTCATTGAACAACCGTGTCATACCAACCTAACAACTGCAGTAATTCACTTAACCAGTGTGGCAAGAAAGGTCGTAAAGTGGGACAAAATTCACAACAATTGTCTCGCGTAGCCACAGAAAGGTTTGGCTCCATTGTGGACGTAAGTCGAGGACCACCTGTACTCAGGCCACCTTTTCCTTTTTCTCCTGACAGGCCTAGACTTCCCACCTGAACCGGCCGCTTTCCAGAGGCCGGGGACTACAAGTGCCATCACTCCCCGCCAAACACGATGCTGCTGGCGGGGATGATGGACCCAAGCCAGTTAAGAGAGAAGCGAGCCGCCCGCCTTGTATTTTTCCTTTGCCGATCGACCGTCCCCACGGCAGCATTGCTTTAAACCAATTAATCCTTATAGATTAATGATCATGGAAACGTGGTTACCCCCCCCCGCCCACAGCCCCAATGCGGAAAAAGCACCGAACGACCGTTAAACAGCCAAGTCCGAAATAACCGCTCTTCCGCCCCCTCCCACTTGCTTCGTTTTCGGGGCGTGGCCTGGAAGGCGTGGCTAACGACGCCGCGCCCTCTGAGCAAGCTACCGTATTCCTTGCCCTTTGGCCGCGGGAGGCACCGCCCTTCTGGCGGCCGGACCAATCAGCGAACGCCCTGTTGGCCAAGCCGGGTTCCATGCAGCAGAGTCCAAGATGGTGGCGCTGAGGGCTCGGAAAGATGGCTCAGCGGCGAGGAGGCTCTTGGTCGCCGCGTGTCTGTGCCTGAGCAGCCGCTTCCTCTCCCCGGCAGACGCCACAGGGCAGGCGGAAAGCGGCGGCGCTCCCGGCGCGGCGGCGCCTCACCGGCGGTTCGAATACAAGTACAGCTTTAAGGGTCCGCACTTGGTGCAGCCGGACGGATCGGTGCCCTTCTGGGCGCATACGGGCAGTAAGTAGCCCTCGTTCCCGAAGAGGGGAAGGCGGGTCTTCCTTTGACCTTGCGATCGGCTCGGGAATCTATTCTGAAGGATCAGCGATTAGCCTCGGAGCGCAGCTCGGGAAGGGAGGAGCGCCTCTGGGCATACGCAGAGTGCAGCTCAGCTTGGCTTATCAGGGGCTCGTGATTGGTTTATAAGTCAAGGAAGAGATTTCTCTTAATAGGAACATGTCAAAACGATTTAGGGAAGTGTAAAAACAAAATCTCGATTCTTTTTTGCATCATCATTTCATGTATTTAAAATTATGTTTACACATATCTGTCATAAAATACATGCTTGACGAAATACAAATAAATAAATAAATCATCGTCTTATCTCTAAGGATAACATCCAGCTTTTGTGGGCTGTTGCCTCATCTTTTTTTAATACAAATGGGGGTAAAGGAATGGACATTTTCCTTTCTCAATCCCAGAGGTGGGTTGGGTTGGGATGAGAGAGAGAGTGACTGGCCCAAAGTTACAATTATTATTATTATTATTATTTTGGTCTGGGTTTAAAGAATTATAAAGTATTCTTTCACAACTTGCCCTTCAGGGATAAATAGTGCAAAGAATCCTGTGATCCGGATATGATCCAGCAAGGTGTTTCTTAATGGGAGTGAATCCTGTTAATCACTCTTGGAACATTAGCTCAGACATATTTCCTTCTCCTGCACAGATTTATCTTCTAAATCTCAAATTCCTTGCCTTTGAGGATAGAAATCAGCAACGGAAAAGTGATGACTTGATCCAGAATTTCTCTACCTGGCAAAAGCTGAAATTCCTCTGATGTTTCCCAAAGGTGCTTTTTTAAAGAGGCAGTTGGACTTTCTTTGGGACAACCTGGATGACTGAGAATCTCCATAGGCATTTAGCTCTGCTTGATGAGGATATCTGGAAAAGAAAACCAGTTTGCTCTAGTACAGTGGTTCTCAACCTTCCTAATGCCGTGACCCTTTAATACAGTTCCTCATGTTGTGGTGACCCCCAACCATAAAATTATTCCTAAAACTATTGAAAATGTGTGTTTTCCGATGGTCTTAGGCGACCCCTGTGAAAGGGTCATTTGACCTCCAAAGGGGTCCCGACCCACAGGTTGAGAACCACTGCTCTAGTAGTTACGATGCTGGCCTACAACCCAAGAGACTGTTGAGTGCTACTCCCACTTTAGGCATGAAAGTCAGCTGGGTGACTTTGGACCAGCTGCTCTCTGTCAATCCAGCCTAAATCTCCTTTGTTGTTCTGATGAAAATAGGAGTAGGGAGGAGTATTAGGAATGTTTGTCACCCTTAGTTGTTTATAAAGATAATAAAGGCAACATACAAATAATAAATTTGATGCTCTGAGTAGATAAGCATTGGTCCACATTACCAATGTTTCGGAGCAACCTAATACAAACACCAGGGTAAGTAGGACACAAAAAGTTCTTGGGCAGATGTACTCCTATTCAAATAAACTCAGATTGACCATAGTATTGTATACCAGTGTTTTTCATACTTGGCTACTTTAAAATGTATGGACGACAACTCCCAGAGTTTTCCTGGCTAGGGAAATCCATACACCTTTTGAAAAACACTGCTCTATAAAAAAATAACGATTTTTGCAACATATGATATAGTGAGTATATGATTACTGTTCCAAGTGATCATATACTCCCCATATCATATATAGCAAGAATTGTTGTTGATTTTTTATAGTCTCTTGCTGCAGATTCCATGAAGTCTCATGTTGGATTATTGGAATGAGAATTCTCAAAAAAATCTTGACTCTTTTATACTAATAGAGATACTCTTTTCATTACTCTCAAATCCTGCAAGTAGCCCCTCCTCCTAGAATTCATATTCCATACTTATTTAATATTGTCATTGAAAAATATAAAAGTTATCTTTCTCCTTCTTGAGAAACTAAATTAATTGAAGTCAAACTTTTAAATCTCTCATATTTGAGAAGTCTCCCAACAATTTTCCATTATAGTGGGAGTTAGGATTCCTGGCACTTTTGCCTTTGTGGCATAATGTATGGGCACAGGTACCATAATGCTTTATTGTTAAAGATTATGATGTGCTTAAATTATAATTTGTAAAAAGATTTAGGTCTTCAGGGCCTGCTGGTAGAGTAACTTTATTTCAGCTATTTATTGTTTCCATTGGAAATTCTGCTGCTTTCTAAGTGTGAATGTGTTTCAATAAGAGGTCTTTGGATCCCTGGTTCCTTCAGGGAATTAAATTCATTTTTTTCCTTGCTCTGTTTTGGAATTACTATATTATATAAGATGGCTTGTTTCAAAGATATTGAAACACTATCTTTATGCCTTTACTCTTTATAGCTAGAAGTGTCTTTTGTCTGTGTTCGTGTTCACATGTGACTGCAGGATGATAGTTTATATTCTGCCATATGGCTACGATTCAAGTGAACAGATGGCAAATGTGCTCCATTGGATATAGCAACTTTAGCATAATAACATGCTTCAATTTCTTCTTTATCTTATCTAGATTTGAAGTTAAAGATCAGATTTTGCAGAGTGACTTGTTCATATATGTCATATAGGGTGCAAATATCAAAGTGTGACTGAATATCTTACGTTCATACAACAAGTAAAACTAAGCTGATGTCTTTAGTTTTTTGTCTGTCAATCATTTCTTGTCATTCAGTTTCCTATTCTTGAGTAGCTGAGACAAATTTTGGAATTGACAGAATAAACTCTGGCTACATGGTAATTCGTCACAATCTATAGCAGGGGTGTCTAGGCAACTTTAAGACTTGTGGACTTCAATTTCCAGAATTCTGAGTTGAAATCTACAGTTCCCAAGGCTGGACACCCCTTATCTGTAGAATGAGAGGCTGCCTTGCCCTGCTTTACATATGATCCGAACACCCATTCCTGGTAAAACTTTTGAATTGTTTATCCATCGTGGTTTATAATAAATTGTTTATCTTAAATGGTTGTTACTTTTGAGCTCTGTTTTTGGTGGACAACTGATTCTAGGCTTTGCTTTTTTAAAAAAAGTATGTTGACTTTTTGTTACTGATTAAATCAACACTTGAAATAACAAGCAAATTACCTTTGATATTAACTCCAATTATTGGACAAAAGCTAGCATTTAACCTAATAGCCTTTTAAGTTAGAACTGAAGAACAGTTAAGGAAGTGCTTTGTTAATCTTTAAAACAATTTGGAACAATATTGAGAAAGATTCCTCAGCTACACAAATTGTTGCTCATTATCACATTTCCTAACACCTCCCGGAATATAGTATTGGAATTGAAGAGCAAGATTTGGTATGTGTTTACTGCAACCTGCAAAATGTAATATAAATCCATATTGTGATCTACAGCCAGCCAGCCTGCCTTTCATTTATGAAAATTGATCCTTTGAAATCTGTTTTCTAGACCAGGGATCCCCAATCCCTGATCCGTGGACCAGCACCAGGCCTCAGCATGCCAGAAACCGGGCCATGCAAACAAGCGAAGCCCCATCCATGGGATGCAGGCAGCACATGAAACCACACACCCCGCCGTTCCGGGGAAAATCTTCTCTCCACCAAACCGGTCTCTAGTGCCCCAAAGATTGGGGGCTGCTGCTCTAGACTGTGTATAGTAGCTTAGCTTGGGAACAGCACAATTTGTGTGTGTGTTTTTCCCCACTGTGATAAGATTAGGAATTTCTTTGGATTAGGTCCTAAATTCCTTTAATCTCGATGATTCTGAATACATTATCTGCCTCTGCAAGACTAATGCAGAGCTTAACCAATACGAAAGAAACAAGAGTGCCCAAATCTTATTTATTTCATTTTGCTTGTTAATTCGGATGAGTCAGAGAGAAGCAAGCCACCCAGAATCACTCACTGAGGTCCAGGGCCCAGTGGGGCTGTGAACCTGGATATTGCCAAGCAAAGTCCTGACTTTCTGATATGCTACATTGACAAGGCTGTTTAATGCTACTTTGTTCTTGCTTGGATGTGCCTGGTTCATGCCAGATTTAACTCTACAGTGTCCACAAACTAATTGTTTGGTTTCCACGTCCCAGATGTATAATGTGTCTTAGAAGTAAAGTTGGCTGGAAGCGACAGTCTTAACTTTGCATCTCAAGACTTAAAATGGAGACCTATCATCAAAAACATCATCAAAAAAGCACAACAAAAGAATGTTCCTTCTGCGCCAACTCAGAAAGCTCAAACTGCCCAAAGAGCTGCTGATCCAGTTCTACAGAGGAATTGTTGAGTCTGTCATCTGCACCTCCATAACTGCCTGGTTTGGCTCTGCAACCAAACAAGACAGACACAGACTTCAATGGATAATTAGAACTGCAGAAAAAAACAATTGCTACCAACCTGCCTTCCATTGAGGACCTGTATACTGCACGAGTCAAAAAGAAGGCTGTGCAAATATCTACAGACCCCTCGCATCCTGGACATAAATTTTTTTAACTTCTACCCTCAAAACGACGCTATAGAGCACTGCACACCAGAACAACTAGACACAAGGACAGTTTTTTCCTGAATGCCATCACTCTGCTAAACAAATAATTCCCTCAACACTGTCAAACTATTTACTAAGTCTGCACTACTATTAATCATCGTCCCCACCACCCATCTCCTTCCGCTTTTTTTTTTTTTAATTTGATTTATATGCCGCCCTTTGGAGACTCAGGGCGGCTTACAATGCGTTAAGCAATGGCCTTCATACTTTTGTATATTTTTACAAAGTCAGCTTATTGCCCCCACAAACTGGGTCCTCAATTTACCTACCTTAGAAAGGATGGAAGGCTGAGTCAACCTTGAGCCTGTCAAGATTCGAACTTACTAATTACAGACAGCTGGAGTTAAATTACAATGCATTAGTCTGCTGAGTTATCCGGGTTCCTATGACTGTTATGACTGTATGACTGTAATTTTGTTACTTGTATCCTTACAATTTATATTGATATTGTTTCCTGATTGTTTATTTGTACCCTATGACTATCATTAAGTGTTGTACCTTATGATTCTTGATGAACGTATCTTCTTTTATGTACAGTGAGAGCATACGCACCAGAGACAAATTCCTTGTGTGTCCAATCACACTTGGCCAATAAAGAATTCTATTCTATTCTATTCTATTCTATTCTATTCTATTCTATTCTATTCTATTCTATTCTATTCTATTCATCTCGAGTTACAAAAGCACTCCCCAGCTCAGAAATTTCTTTTAAATTTGAAACCTGGGAATTGACTTGGAAAATAGCTATTTCTGAACTTTTAAAGTTCAGATTTTAAAATCTCGAGTGCTTTTGTATTTGTGATGACTAGCCTTGTTCATTGTGGTCAATGGTATACAGGTAGTCTTTGAATTACAACCATAATTGGCATTGAAATGCCATCACTAAGTGATGCAGTTGTTAAGTGAGTCTTTCAGCCCCACAAGGTTGTTATGGGCAAAATAAGAGAAAGGAATATTAAGTATGTTTGCTAGCTTGAGTTATTTATTAAAAAAAAAAAAAAGATGGCAGGATAAAAAAAATAAATAATTTTTTGGAATTCTTTTGACAAGTATGGTTTTTAACATATTACTAAAAATGGTGAACTTCCTTTTCAGATGCTATCCCCAGTGCTGATCAGATCAGAATAACTCCTTCATTAAAAAGCCAAAGAGGATCCGTATGGACAAAAAGCAAATCCATATTTGAATACTGGGAAATTGAAGTGACCTTCCGTGTGACTGGAAGAGGGAGAGTAGGAGCTGATGGATTGGTACGTAATACCAGCTGCAATTTGCAAATGCTGGGTTAGAGGTTAGCAAGCCCACGTCCGAGACCCAAGTGCTGCTGCGTGATGGGCTAAACTCTTGTCATTTGCTCCAGCTCCTTGATGGGGGCAGGAAAGGAGCCCCCATGGGTTCCTGGTAATGGGCAATGGTGATGTCACCAACTAATCCTTTCAACCCAGAAGCGCCTTAAATGGCGCCACGGACATGAACGGGACAGGAATGGGACGGGAGTTTGCAAACGTGGTGATTGCATGAATTGGAGTGTCTACAATTTGCTTTGATCTTCATGTATCTGCACAGGCAATCTGGTATACTGAAGGACAAGGATTAGATGGCCCAGTTTATGGTGCGGCAGATAACTGGAATGGTGTTGGCATCTTCTTTGACTCCTTTGACAACGACGCAAAGGTTAGTGAGAAACCATTGAAGGATATGCTATGGGTTGAATTTTAAATAACTTTTTCGGGACCTACTTGGTTTTTCAGTCTTCGTATCCTGTCCTATCTTCATGCTGGTTTTTATTTCCTTCCATCGCAGAAAAACAACCCTGCAGTGATTATTGTCGGCAATAATGGCAAGCTCCATTATGACCATCAAAAGTAGGTTGCATTTGATCTGATCTATCTTCATTTTCCATAAGAAAAAGAATATCTATTTATATATAAATTTATTTATTTATTTATTTATTGAATTTCTATACCGCCCTTCTCCCGAAGGACTCAGGTCAGTGAACAGAATAAGATTTCATATACATATAATATATTTTTTTTAAACAGTAAATAAAAAATTGAGTCAACTTGGTGTATCTGCTAAGACCTTGGCATAGAATTTAGATGTTTATGCTAGCCTTGCTTGTTGAAACAGAAAGGTCTTCAGGGCATGTCGGAAAGTGCGAAGTTCTGGGATTATTCGTATTCCAGGGGGTATTTTGTTCCAAAGAGTAGGCGCCCCCATGGAGAAGGCTCTCTCCCTTGGAACTACTAGACGACATTGTTTTAATGATGGTACTATGAGTAGGCCTACTCTGTGAGAGCGTATTGGTTGGTGGGAGGTTATCGGTTGCAGCAGGTGGTCTCATAAGTACTCAGGTCCTAAGCCATGGAGCACTTTAAAGGTAAGAACCAACTCCTTGAAGCGCACTCGGAAGGCCACCAGAAGCCAGTGCAGCTCACGTAGAAGAGGTGTTACATGTGAGCGCCATGTTGCTCCCATAATTACTCGCACAGCCGCATTCTGGACCAGTTGGAACTTCCGGGTGCACTTCAAGGGGAGCCCCATGTATATATGATTTGATGTCTATCTATTAAATTTTTGCTGAGTGGATAGAAGAAATAACTTTGATTCCCAAAGATTGGAAAGTTATAAAGTAGAGTCCACAGAAACGTAACTATTAGTACTGCTTCATTTATTTATTTTTCTTAAGTTATGAACTTACCTTCGTGATAGCTCTCAGTGGGGTACAGTAATAAAGTCATTATTTTAAAAAGTACAAGTAGAAAAGTACAGGTGAGTGGAACAAGGAAGACCATTCTAAAAACAATATAGCACATGGGGACCTCCTGCATTCTAGAAAGAGTGCAGAGAAGAGCAACAAAGATGATTAGGGGACTGGAGGCTAAAACATATGAAGAACTATTGCAGGGATTGGGTATGTCTAGTCTAGTGAAAAGAAGGACTAGGGGAGACATGGCAGTGTTCCAATATCTGGGGGGCTGCCACAAAGAAGAGGTGGGGGATTCAAACCTATTTGTCAAAACAGCTGAAAGCAGGAGAAGAAACAATGGATGAAAACTAATCAAGGAGAGAACCAATCTAGAACCAAGGCAAAATTTCCTGACGGAACAATTAAACAGTGGAAGGACTTGCCTGCAGAAGTTGTGGTTGCTCCAACACTGGAGGTTTTTAAGAAGAGATTGGACAACCATTTGTCTGAAATGGTATAGGGTTTCCTACCTAGGCAGGGGGTTGGACTATAAAACCTCCAAGGTCTTTTCCAACTCTGTTATTCTGTTATTTTAAGGGCTCTTTTAAACATGGTCAGCATGGGGGCCAGACAGATCTCAGGGAGAAGGTTGTTCTGGAGGGGAAATGCTACAAAGATAAAATTTACTTCCTAGGTCCCATCACACAACTGATTAACTGATGGAATCTGGTGCATACAGGATGGGCAGGTAGAGAGAAGGTCCCTTAGATTGCCAGTCCCTATACTGGTGATAAGTAGCAATTTTGGTTAACAGGAAGCCTACTGGGAACCAGCATAGTTTGCAAAGCAAAGATGTTCCATGATGTGGATATCCACGGTTGCCTGTGTCTCTACGTTCTAGACCAGTTACTGCTTCTCAGTGGTTTTCAAGGGCAGCTCCATGTAGGGCAGATTACAGTAGTCCGCTCATAAAGTGACCAAAACATGAGCAGTTGAATTGGCTTGAAAATGCATTTCTTGGTCCCCAGTCCAAGTGGTAGAACTTCAATTGCTAGAGCAGCTTAGATCGTTTTTGTCACTTGTCTCTAAAGTGAAATTCCATCCCACTTTCTTATCCTTCCCATCAAACTCTTGGCTCAATTCCTCTTTGCCACACTATTCCTTGCTCTGCCATCTCCTCAGCTCATATTTCACCCCCTTCTCATCATGTATGGTCACAATGCCAGTCTTTTGCTACCCTCACCATGAAATGCCAGTCTAACTAAGGACATACCCAGTGCTTGTAATCTTGCAGCTGCCCAGATTGTTAATTCTGGGAGTAGCGGTCTTTTCAGAAGGTTTATCCATTGTTCTCAATGGAACAATGTTTATTTGTTTCATGAACCTTCCCCCATCCATTCCAGTTTCAAAACTGACATCTTAATGATGAATGTGTGCTAACGCATGCCACAGTAAACAATAACCAGACTTCCTCTTAATCCAGGTTTAGATCATATTAAGCATTTCAGTTATGGGTTAAGGTGTTGTTTGGTGAAATTGTAATTTTTATTCATTGAATACAAGTAGTCTTCAATTTACAACCATTCACTAAGTGACCATTCAAAGTTAACAACCAAAAAAAAAAAAAAACCCTGCAAAAACTTACTTATGACCAGTCCTCACATTTATGACCATCATAGCATCCTTAGAGTCTCATGATCAAAACTCAAGTGCTTGGCAACTGGCATGTTTTTACAATGGTTGCGATGTCCCAGAGTCGTCTGATCACCATTTGTGACCTTACCAGCAGGTTCCCAAAAGTCAGTGGGGGAAACTAGATTCACTTAATGACCACGGATTCAGTGAACAACCACAGGGATTCACTTAAAAATCATGGCAAAAAGGAAAAGTGGAAATTCTAGTCCCAGTTATGGTCATAAATCAAGGACTACTTATAGACTGCTTCTATTTTATACTACTCAGATGGACCATACAATAGTGGCCAAAATTGAGGAAACCTTTTGGGAAAAGTGTATATTCTAAAACTATTTATTTATTTTATTTATTTATTTTTATTTCTATACCGCCCTTCTCCCGCAGGACTCAGGGTGGTGCACAGCCAAAGTAAAACATTGTATACAAAATTTAAAAAAACAATTTAAAAAACAATTAAATAATTTTGGCCCAAATAATTTTAAAAGTTAACTAGCTAATAACACCACTTTTTTTTGAGTAGTACCATAAAATTATATATCAATGGAAAGATAATCTAATCAAGAATGTAATGCAATAACCTTTATGAAGGATTTGCTCTTAGAATAGCAGTCGCAGTATAAAGAAGAAAAGTGAAACATGTAGAAAAAATGAGATATACAAAAATTATCACCATGTCAGTTAATACTTAGTTGGGTAACCTTTAGCATGAATTACGGCCTTATAATGTCTTCCCATGGAGTGAACCAAGTCCTTTCGTTCCGCAGCTGTTATCGTGTGAAACCAAGATCGAATGACTGCTTCTATTAACTGGGTTTTATTGCTGGGTCGCTTCTGACTAACACATTTCTTTAGTGGGCTCCATAGATTTTCAATGGGGTTAAGGTCTGGGCTATTCCCAGGCCATTCCAGCAGTGGAATAGGATTATCTTGAAATCCCCCCCCCCAAAAAAAAGTGTTATTAGCCATCAAACCTCAAAAATACACTTTTCCCAAAAGGTTTCCACAATTTTGGCACTACTGTATGTCATGTACATGGGTCTTTAATGTTTGTCTGGATTATCCTGACTGCTAAATTTGTATTGATAAAATGTTTCTGTTTTGAAGTGATGGGTCCACACAAGCGTTGGCGTCATGTCAAAGAGATTTTCGTAACAAGCCTTATCCCATCCGTGTGAAGGTTGTTTACTATCAGAAGACACTATCTGTAAGTAATTTCAGCTCTCCTCATACTTTCCTGTGTGTATATTTAATGTGTTTATGAATAACAGGAACCCGTGAGTTAAAAGTATACTTTGGAAGTTGGGAAGAGAAGTCTGGCAGTTCTAATGTATCACAATTGATTAAGATCTTTCAGAACTTGTGGAATGTTTTTTGCATTGCTTAAAAGTTTGGCAGAGAGATAAATAATTGGGGTTCTGCAGCATAGGAAAATAAGTTATATTAACTGCCTCCAATTTGAAAACCTGTAACGAAATGGTTCCCAGTTGCTTTTTTGAATGAATAAAGTGTAAATGGTCAACCTCCGCCGGAGTTTATATGCTGAAAAGAAAAATATTTCTAATAAATGAAGAGTGAAATTGTATTCTCAGTCCCAAGGCGCAAAGCTTGAGACCCAGAAACGGACTGTTTTATCTTGGAGGACAAAAGAGATTTTTCAATGTACTTTAAAATAACATTTTGGCTGAGGATGATAATTGAAAAAAGTCATTTGTCTGACATAATTTAGTATTGCTACTCAAATGATTTAGGTCATAGGACTGGGTGGAAAAGCCTGAGTTGTCTGATTCAACTTATTTATTTAGCCTATGGTTGGTCACACAACCATACAATTGACTGATTCAACTGACTGAACTACATACAGATCAACTAGGTGGACCAGTGTCTATAGAAATTCTTAGTCATTCATGTCATGGCCGTCCCAAAAGTGCTTTTCCAAAAGGCAACTGGACTTTCTTGGTTTTTTTCCTTGAAAACCTTCCACTTCTCATCCAAGAAGCTTCTTCCATTCGTAGACCAATCTGGTCCAACCTGCAGTCCATGGGCTGCATGTGGCCCTGGATAGCTAGTAATGCGGCCCTATACGATTGCAAACTTTTTAACATTATTATGTGATTTAGTAATAGCAATAACACTTAAGACTTAATATACACTTCCCAGTGCTTTACAGCCCTCTCTAAGTGGTTTACAGAGTCAGACCATTGCCCCCAACAATCTGGGTCCTCATTTTATCCACCTCGGAAGGATGGAAGGCTGAGTCATCCTTGAGCCTGGTGAGATTTGAACTGCTAAATTGCAGGCAGCCAGTAGTCAGTAGAAGTAGCCTGCAGTGCTGCATTCTAACCACTGCACCACCACGGCTCTTTATATTTATATACATTAACTATATTATATATTTCATATGCCATCCAAAACAATTCCTCTTCACCCTGTGCTGTTTCATATAGAGTATGTAACCACACTACAGGCCATCGCTGTGCAGAAACCATTTTACTAGAGAGTGAGTAATACAACAGGAACAGGAAATGCATCACAGGAACAATATGAATCCTAGAGTGGCAATGTGATACAGGAAACAACTACAGTAGAAAGGAATGGTAGAGCTGCATATAAGGTAGACATAATACCTATAACGTGCAGCCCAGGCAAGCCAAACTTGGAAAACCATGAGATAGATAATTGGCCTAATTCTGTATCCAGTGACTTCATCTCTGTCTCTTTTCTTCCAAGGTATTAATAAACAATGGCTTTACTCCAGACAAAGAAGACTATGAGTTTTGTGCCAAAGTTGAAAACATGGTGCTGCCTCTTCAGGGTTACTTTGGCATCTCTGCAGCAACGGGTGGCCTCGCAGGTGATTTTACCATTCAGGTTACCTCCCCTTTGATGATTTTGCCCAGGAAATGATTTCTCTCGTTGGGATAGATAGAGTCAAAATGCCTGCAGATTTAATATCTGTTAAAAAAAAACCTGAGACTGGCACAAAGATGGTCGTCTTTCTGGGTGGCAACAGAAAAAATAAGTAGACTAAGTGTATGGGATCAAGCCATTGTCCTCTTGGCACTTGTTTACACCAGGTAGAAGATGACAGACGTGTCCTTTTCAGCCACACCCTAATCTCAATTGAAGGTGTGTTTAAAGGACTGGGTATTCTCAGAAAGAATTCACTTTTCTTTTTAATGTCCATTAACATCTCAGACTGCTTTCAAATGTGTCCAAGTCATTGTTCCATGGATCTCGTAGGAGAGGACTGCGGTTTAGAGGAATGTAAACCCAAAGGAGCAGTGATACCTTGGAACCTAGTTATGCACTGGTATAAGGCAATGTCTCTCAACCTTTAGCCAATTTAAGATGTCTGGACTTCAACTCCTAGAATTCCCCAACCAGCAATGCTGGCTGAGGAATTCTGGGAGCTGAAGTCCAAGTTGGCCAAGGTTAAGAAACATTGAACCAAAGTGTTTGACTTAACTTCTCGAATGAAAAGGAAATGCCGTGACTGAAATCCAGACCATGAGATATTTTGGATGACCAATATTTGAAATTCACCTTTAAATCTGCAGAGAACTAGAATCTGCCTTTGTGATTGAGCAATTTTTTAAATCAATGTACAAGGTCTGCCAAATCATTTATTGAACCTAGAATTGTAGGAAACTCCTTTGTCTCCTTACCTTCTGCTTTTTATCCAATGCAACCTTATGATAAATACGCACAACTGGTTTGGACATTTATCTATCTATGTATCTATCTTCAGGCATAAATTTCCTTCTCTATGGTTAGAAAAGCATAGTTGCTAGAATGAGGAGTGAAAGTTAATTCACGTTTACTTGCTGTTGTTTGATGTGGATCCCATTTTATTAGTCTACAGTTAATGAAGATGTGTTGCCAATTTTGGCCATAGACAAACATTCACCCAACATTCCTAATGTTGGCCTTTGTGTTCCTGGCCTTATAATGCGTGAAATAAGATGTTTTTTAGATTGCTAAGTCATTCTACTGAGTTAGCATAATGTAGACTAATTCTTTTGACACATTTCTGATTTTTTTTATCTAGACGACCATGATGTTTTGTCATTCTTGACATTTCAGTTGACAGAGCCTGGCAAAATGACGGTAGGTATCTTTGGATTATATATTTGTTCTGCATGCTCATTAAGAATATGCAGAGCGAGCATTCGCAATAAAACAGGATAGTAATCTGCAGTTAGGTTGCAAATCAACTATGTTGAATCTTTGAGTAGAGTATCTTTCCTTTTTTAGAAAAATAATCTTTTTTTAAAAAAAAAAAAGCAGGCTAATTCTAGATTTCTGATGGAATTATAGACTTGCAGTATATGTTTTGTGGTCTTTCCATCTTTTTTAATTATGCCAGGAAAACGTGGAAGATTAGAGAGGTCGAAAACGAAAGTCAGTACTATCTGTTCTTTAACCATATTCAGGCAGTGGTCATCACACAATTATGTTTCCAGAAGGAGGAGAATGAAGCTTTATTCACCCAGATCTCTCCTCCTCGTTTCATCTTCCTTGTTGGCCCTGCTTTTTCTTGGCACTAAAGCAGCAGATCAGAAGTTAGTTCAGAAGAAGTTACCAGTGCACAGACTAGTAGTCGCCCAGAGTCCCTAGGGAGTTGGGCAGCATAGAAATGCGACTAATAAATAAATAAATAATAAATAAATAGTCTTGGACTTAAAATCGGTCACATAGCAACCGCTTGAAGTTCCAGCAGACCTACCGGGGTGGGGGCAGAAGAGTTACAACCCAGATCCAAAGTTCTGACAGTCATCATCCCCCCCAAGATGTCTGTGAGGTTCTCAATTATCCAAGTCATGTTATCCAGTTACGACTGTGATGGCTAGGCTCCATTATGGTTGTCCCCAAAAGTTGTCCTTTTTTCAAGAGGCAACTGGACTTTCTTGGGTGTGTGTTTTTTTCTTTGAAGACGTTTCGCTTCAAACTCTCTAAAAGAATGCAAATGACCAGCTGTCTGCAAGGAACATAAATCCTTCCATTCCCTACCATCGGGTCAGAGCTGAAGAAGCTTCATGGATGAGAAGCGAAAAGTCTTCAAAAAGAAAAACCAGAAAGTTCAGTTGCCTCCTGAAAAAGCCCCTTTGGGGTCCCCCCATGACCTCATTTCCGGTTCTTGATTGCACTTAGAGCAGTAAGCCACTTAAAGCACTAGGGCTGTATTTACAGCATCCTGCAGTCATATGACCACATTTTATGACAGTTTTCCTGAAAAGCAGCATTAAGTTCCAGTTTTTGGCACCCATAGCAAAGCATTGGTTTGCTTAACGACCACAGCATTCACATATCAACCAGGCTGATTTGCTTAATCGTGCGACCAACCCATTTTACGACCATTATGAGTTATGACTGTGATGGCTAGACTCCATTATGGTTGTCCCAAAGGTGCTTTTTCAGGAAGCAACTGGACTTTCTTGTTTTTTCTTTGAAGACGTTTCGCTTCTCATCCAAGAAGCTTCTTCAGCTCTGACAGGATAGTGGGGAATGGAAGGAGTTATATTCCTTGCAGACAGCTGGTCATTTTGCATCCTTTTAGAGAGGTTGATGCGAAACGTCTTCAAAGAAAAAAACAAAAAACCAGAAAGTCCAGTTAACCTCCTGAAAAAGCACCTTTGGGACAACAATGACCTGGATGACTAAGAATCTCTACAGACCTCCATTATTTATTTATTTATTTATTGGTTCAATTTATATGCCGCCCTTCTCCGGAGACTCAGGGCGGCTTACAATGCGTTAAGCAATAGCCGTCATACTTTTGTATATACCTGCTTAGTAGCTATTGCCCCCCCCCAAGCGGTGTTCTTTTTTATACAAAGTCAGTTTATTGCCCCCACAATCCGGGTCCTCATTTTACCTACCTCGGAAGGATGGAAGGTTGAGTCAACCTTGAGCCTGATGAGATTTGAACTTGCAGTAATTGCAGGCAGCTGGCAGCTAAGTGCTACTTAACAGCACTTTAGTCCGCTGCACCACCAAGGCTCCTAAACTGAGTTATGGTTGTAACTCAAGGACTCTGTACACTTCTTATGCATTTAGAGGCTTGGTTCAGCAGAATCTGGAATAGCATGGGTAAAACAAACACCCTGCTTCAGACTTTTCTCATCTCACAAGTGACAGGATAAAGTCTGGCAGGAAATAAGAGGTAACAATCTGGGAATACTGCCTCATAGTTCCCTTTACATAAAGGCAAACAGGTAGCACGTATGAGCCCATCCAGCTTCTTCGAACTGTTCCTTGGAAGCCCCAAAATGTTAACTCAGAGTGCCTGATGCCAATAGTGCTTGTCAAATTTTAGGATGCCTTTTTATTCAGAATTGATTTCATAGCCTCCACCAGATGCAGACATTGCTGAAAAGGACAAAGAGAAATATCAAGAAGAGTTTCAGCATTTCCAGCAAGAGTTGGACAAAAAGAAAGAGGAATTTAAGAAAGAGCATCCGGACATGCAAGGCCAGCCAAGTAAGTAGTCAAGTGATAAACTCGATGTAGAAAGCCAAGTCTTCATTGAAAGAATTGCTTTTCTAAATGGGCATTCTTTCTGGTCTGTTGGCAAACAAGATTTTTTCCTAGACAGTCCATGTGAGAATGACTAGAGCAGTGTTTCTCAACCTTGGAAGCTTGAAGATGGGTGGACTTCAACTCCCAGAACCCCCCAGCCAGCAGCGCTGGCTGGGGGATTCTGGGAGTTGAAGTCCACCCATCTTCAAGCTTCCAAGGTTGAGAAACACTGGACTAGAGGATCCTGTAGTTCTATGATTTTCACAAGGGAATACAGAGGGGAAAATGAAGAAATGATCTTTGCTTTGCAATGCATTCAGTCTGCTATACGCACCAGTTCCTTTAGCACAGTGAGGGTTAACCGTTTTGCCGTCGTGTGCCAATAGCGGAGGAGTGCAGGGGGTTTGCACACGTGCATGCCCACATCCATAATTCAATGCACCCTGCACATGTGTGCGTGACCCACCCACCCCCTCTCCCCCCGCTTTTGGCACGTGACAGCCCGGTAGGCCGGTTTTTGACCCACTCTATCTTTCCTTTGAAATTGAAATTCTTCATCCATTCGCTTGGACCCAAGTGCTTTTAACTTCACTGACTCATAAATGGGATTTATTTCAGGCACAGATGTGTATAGGCCTAATGCTATTAATGAAACATCTCAAGTAGACAAATCTTATTTAGAACTGCTTTTGTGCTTCCCTCTGACTTGTGTGTGTTACTGAGAACACCTTAGTTAAACTCACATCAAAATACAGCAAGTGGTTAAGTATATGTTTATATGCAGTTATGTATCAAAATCATTTGACCCACCAGAATGTCCCACTTGTGTGGTTTTGTTTTAAAGTGGAAGATATCTTTGAGACGGTGAGTGATCGTGAGCTGAGACAGATCTTCGAAGGCCAAAATCGAATTCACCTGGAAATAAAACAGCTCAACAGGCAATTAGACATGATTCTGGATGAACAGAGAAGATACGTCGCTGCGGTAACAGAAGAGATTTCCAAAAGAGGATCAAATGTCCCTAGCCATCAAGGACAGGTATATTGTTGGTACACATGTTACACAGGTCACAATTCTGTATTTTGACAGTTTTGTACTTTTCACTAACAGTTCTGTTCTCTGTTTCTTTTCTATTTTTTTATAGGCTTCCCAGTTAGAACTTGACAATATCGTAAAAACTCAAGAAGAGGTTCTGAGACAAGTTGGGGAAATGAAGTAAGGATTGTATGTGAAAGACATAATATACCAGCTTATGTCCAACAGAGGTTTCACATTATTATATAAGATTGTTGTTGAGGTGTGAACTACTCAATGGTGAATTACCGTCGCCGTCCATCGCTGCTGCTGCCTATTGCTGCTTCCACACGCTCCATTTTCAGCCTACGCACATCCATTTTTGACCCGTTCCATGTGGCGGGGATCATTGCCGACGCCACCTATCCCCGCTGCCTGGAACAGGCCAAAAACAGGATGTGTGGAGGCTGAAAATGGGGTGCGTGGAGGCGGTGATAGGCGGCAGCAGTGATGGATGGTGGCGACAGGCTGTGGCGATTCCTGCAGCCTGGAACAGCTGATAGGCAGTATTCTGGGAAGCCGATCCAACTGCCAATCAGCTCCTCGTGCCAAATCAGGCTGTGCTGAAGCTGACCAGGTTGTTTGCTGCCAGGAGGTAAATTGCTGGGAGGCAGAGGCCGAAGGGTGGGAGCTGGCGCGTGGGAAAGGTTTCGGCAACATTCGCTGTATAAGATGCATAGACATTTCCACCCACTTTTTTGGGGGGTGGAAAGTGCTTCTTATTCACTGAACAATACGATAGTTCCCTTTCTTTTTTTGCTCATTGAAATTCCACACTTTCTGTTTATTCTTTGATGGCCTATATACAAGTTTGTTTGTTTGTTTTTTAAATGACTCTTACCGGTGTAGCAAATGCATTTGAGGTCCTTGTTGCAGTGCATGGGTAAACAAAGTCATATAACATATTATGATGGAGTGAAAGGAGGATAGGAGCCTGTGGTATCTACCATCTTTGCAGCAGAACATCTGTGGGCTGAAATTTATTGCAGTTGGAGGAGAGGTTGAGATAACGATTTGCCTAAGTTCTGGTTTCCTTACTGAAGAAAAGATGGCTCCTGAGCTGTTGTATTTTTGGAGTGCTTGTCCAGCAAGCATTTCCTCTGGCTATTTTATACCGGTATTAGTTTCAGGGTGTTTTATGGATATAGTTAGAGAGCATGTATTAACTTTTCCTTCCAAGATTGTGAATTTTATGCAGTGAAAATTAAGCGAGGACTTTCTGAGCACTGATTTCACAAAGAGAGAATGAAGGGAGGAGAGAAAGCAGGGAGAGGGGAGGAAAGGAAAGGAAAGGAAAGGGAAAGGAAAGGAAAGGAAAGGAAAGGAAAGGAAAGGAAAGGAAAGGAAAAGGAAAGGAAAGGAAAGGAAAGGAAAGGAAAGGAAAGGAAAGGAAAATACTCCCTGCCAGCTTCCTGCAGAGAGTCAAAGTCAACCCACAATTTCTCTATTTAGGAACAATCTCTGAAATGTTGACCCAGTGGGGCAAGAGTTGGCTAGTAAATTCTATTATGTGCCCTGCAGTCTTTAATGCTAAAGATGCAAGCTGGGTACCATTCGTTATACTATATTACTGTGTCCTGGAAAGATTTAAAAAACAACAACCCACACTCTCCCCATCAGATTCAGCTGCAGTTTTTCGAGCATTCTGATCAGATTGGGAAGATGAGTTTCCCTCTGAAGTTTTCAACAATTGATCAATTCAACAATAAGATCAATTGGATCTTAAGCAACCTAAGCAACCCATAAAGACAGTTTTAATACTGTGTACAAAAGCACACTGACTGTCATTTTTCCCCTGCATATTTTTATGTTGCAAATTTTAAGAGATGTCCCTGGTTATTTAGCCTGGGAAATCCAACAGTAAAACTCTTGCTAAAAATGAGAAAGTCTCTGCTGCGATGTCAAAAGGATTTAAAAAATAATATACTAATTGTGCCCATAGTGATTTTTTTTAACTTGGTCACTTGCTTTTTGGAGAGAAAGTAAATGACAAGTCCAGGGATGAAGCTGAAAGCCAAGAAAGCAAAATTCCACATAATGGGGTAATAATGATAATTTAGGTAATGAAAAGCTAGGTGTAGCTTAAATTGTTATTTATTCTTCCAGTGTGTATCTTTTCTCACAAACTCACTGGGACCTTTAAACAATGTCTGAGATTTTAAAAAATATATATATTTACATCTACAAATCAATACAATTTTCTTCAAGTCATTTTTCCCCATGTTTTTTAAGAAAAGTAATAATTACCCTGATTATAAATTTCCATAGAAACATTAAAACCTATGAAAAGTACATGACATTTCCTTAGATAAATAACTTGGTAAATTATCAAATTCTTGTGCAGTATATTTTGTTACAAAAAGTATAATTATGGTTATACAATAACAGCTTTTATTTAACTCCAATTATACTTATGCCTGAAGTATTCTGTTTGGCTGTTATTTTTCAAAACATTGGTCTTTATAAGTTTTTGGATACTGGAGTTCATCAGAAAAAAAACCACCCTATTATTTAAGCTGGTTATTATCTATAAATGCTTAGCAATTTTTTAAAGCAAATCAGTACTTTTAGTTGAGATCTTTCTGTCCCAACTAATGTGAAACTTTAGCTCAGATGTTCTTTTTAATTTGTTTCCTTTATATGTACAGTTCTGTGGGTTCAAGAGGCAGTTCAGTTCAGTTTTTTAAGAAACTTTTTTTTAGAAAATCTGTATTTTTAGTTGAGATCTTTCTATCTCAACTAATGTGGAACTTTATTTTTAAATAAAGTTGAACTTCAAATTTTTAGAATTTGTTTTTAAAAAATCTATATTTTATGTTTGACATATACCATATTTTTCTGAGTATAAAACACACTTTTCCCCCCCTAAAGGAGGTTGAAAATTTGGGTGTGTCTTATACTCTGAATGTAGCCCCACTCACCTGCCGGCCCCCACCCTTCAGCCTCAGCGTGTCTTCTTCCTGGCTGCAGAGATTGGCACAGACAATGGCTTGCATTTTTGGGCTCCGCGCCTTGCGTTTTCAGCCTCCAAACATTCCGTTTGAGAGACGTTTAAGGCTGCGAGGATCGCGCACAACCAGTGAACTAATGTGCTGAAGCTGACCAGGCTAAGGACGCTAGCCAGATGAATACCTCATAGCCAGATTTTTTTTCCTATTTTCCTCCCCAAAAACTAAGGTGTGTCCTACGCTCCAAAAAATAAATAAATAAAAATTTATTTTAAATGTTCAGGTGCATTAAATGGCCTCTCTGACGTGAGCATTCTTGACTCTCTTTCCAGAAATTCCATGGGGGAAACTCTGCGTCTAGTCACTGGCATTCAGCACCACCCCGCTTCCTCTGGTGGGATCTACGAAACCACACAGCATTTCAATGACATTAAGGAACATCTCCATATCGTAAAAAGGGATATTGAGCATTTAGTCCAGAGGAACATGGTATCTATTGTTATTTCTGTCCTAGGTTTTTTGGGGGGGGGGGGGGGGGGAGGAAAGGTGTCCCCAAAAGTCAACATGATGGCTGAGACTGGAAAACCCTGCCCCCGTTTAATTGCAAAAATGGCAGAGGACTTTAATTACATGATTGCAGATATTTATTGTAACACAGGAATCTTCTCAGACCGATGGTTTAGACCTGGATAAAACTAGATGAGGTTCAGTGGCATTCAAGGGGAAGGGGTAGACTTTGCTCTCTTGTGCCCACATAGGAATTCCAGACTAATTCCCCATTTGACTCCTCCTCCAGCTTAGCCAATTTCTCCCCAACATCCTTCATTTATGACTGCATTTGGCTATCTGCTTCTACCAGAAAGGTTGGCAGTTCAGCAGTTCGAATCCCTAGTACTGTAATACTGCAATAGTAATTGCAATACTGCAATACTTCCCACATTTGCACCTCACCAAAGGCCTCCTTTCATGAAAGAAGGCCCTGGATGGAAGGGCAGTTCATTTGTACTGGTTTTGTCCCTGCTGGCACATGAGAGAAGTCCCTGGTTGCCCTGGCACAAAAGAAGGCCACATGAAAGAAAATTATTTCAATCAAAATGATTTTGAGTACACTCATAGATTCGGCTTGTTGAAAAATCAATTCATCATCTTGTTTGTTTTTCAGCCATCAAATGACAAACCCAAATGTCCAGAGTTGCCACAATTTCCATCATGTTTATCCACAACACACTTCTTTATATTTGTAGCATTCCAGACACTACTCTTTATCAGTTACATCATGTACAGGTAAGTGTCGACTTGAACATACCTTGCAAACAGGGAGGAGCCTTGAGGAATAGAACTGAAGGATTGGCTCAGAAATGAATCTGTGTCTGTTCTAAGCAAGCCCTAAAAATGTCTTGGGGCACATAAAATTAAATTGTAAGAAACACAGAGAGAGAGATGCTGCTTATCCCTGATACCAATGTGTTTAAGATGCTGGTGCCTTGGCACAAATGCACTTTTGTTGTTATGTTTGTGGAGTCTTCGCTATGTAAATGTTTAGGAATTTTCAAAAGAGGAAATACTTGGTTCTCGCACACTTTAGCAATAGTACTTAGACTTATATACTGCTTCACAGTGCTTTTTACAGCCCTCTCTAAGCGGTTTACCTAGTCAGCCTATTGCCCCCAACAATCTGGGTCCTCATTTTACCCACCTCGGAAGGATGGAAGGCTGAGTCAACCTTGAGCCTGGTGAGATTCGATCTGCCAAATTGCAGGCAGTCAGCAGAAGTAGCCTGCAGTACTGCATTCTAACCACTGCGCCACCACGGCTCTTTAGCAGCCTTTTGAAATCTGCATTCCCAAGGGTGTAGAAAAAGGGACAGGGTGGACAAGATTTTAAGCTCTTTTGCTGTCATGGAAACGCATAAGTGTTGTCCTCTAATCATTTCTCCCTCCCCTCCTTTCTTGGGTCTTAAATATGGGGGTCAAAGCTGGGAGGGGCTCCTGGTTGGGGGGGGATTGAACTGAATAAGCTGAAATTGGACCCAGGGGGGTCTGGGTAAAAGTCCCGGGGATGAAGCAAGTCTTTCTTAGCATAGCTTTCAATATAATATTGTTACGTGAATAAAACTTGAGAGGACAAAATATTAAATAAGCCACCTAGTGCTCCTTGAGGAAAGATTGACGTAGAAATGTGTCCTTGGTGCTCTCTGTGCTTGGCTGTTTACTTACAGATGGCTTATTACCTGACCAGGTGATTTAGTTGGGTAATAAAACATCTGCAAGAAAACAATCAAGCTCTGAGAGCACCAAGGACCCCCATAGTTCAACCCTCAGCTACAAATACTCTCTTCTACTGGCAACTAAATAACTTTTTGTAAACGCCTGCAAGGAAAAATAAAGCACCATCTTTTCCAATCCCTTCTGTGAGGTATTTTCCTTTTGCAACACAAAATGGATAGAGTACGTTCTTTATATGTCGCATCGCATGTGTATCTTAAGCACTGAGACACTTACAGGTTGAAAGCATTAGCTGTTCCCTGGGGGGGGGGGGGACCCAATTGGGGGCTCCTTTGATGTCCCCGGCAGGAGCTGGAACAAAGGACAGGAGCTCACACTGTCCCACAGCAGCACTCGGGTCTCGAACACAAGTTTGCTAACCTCCAACCCAGCGTCCTACCCATGTGAGCCACTGTGCTCCTGGGATTCTACGTCAATCTAATTTAATTATTAGTTTCTCACTATAAGGCATTCGGTGGGAAATAATATTGGTCTAAATGGCTCTGCTTCTGTCAGTCACTTCACTATGATCTGAAATAATTGTTAATCTTATTTCAGCAGTTTAGCCTTAGGTTGGTTTGGAGATCTTGAAGACTAGTGAGCTTAATTATTTCAGATTAAAGTACTAAAAAGGCCACGTTCAGCCCAAGAAGCTTAGGGTGGGGCTGCCCTGTCCCCCCCATCTGAATTCCAGAGCATTCCTGGTTCTGAAAGAGTCACTTATTGAGGCAGACAAAAAGCTTTCTAAAGTCAGTTGAGCTAATGGATTTCTCTTTCTGTTGTGTCTGCAGGAGTCAGCAAGAAGCAGCAGCAAAGAAATTCTTTTGATGGCCTCTCTATTGTGCATTCCAGAGGTGCATGGAAAGCATTGCACTAGTTGGAGAAGAGGGAAGGAAATCCTTTAGTGTTGAAAATGCTTCAATGTTTTAAATTATTGAGTTCTTTCTTAATCAAGTACACCAAATAATGGATTGCGAATGTTATAAAACGGACAGATTCCAAGGCAGAAAAGAGATAAATTCTGTCTTTGAGCATCCAGGAGAAATGGGTGGATGGAAAATACCTTTACTTCATTGTCAAAATACATCCCAAGTAAGGTCTTGGCACAGGAGTATTTCTCACACTTATTTTTTGCATTCTTATTTGGGGAGATCATGGAAGGCATGATCTGTATAATAATAGTTGTGTGTCTCAGAGAGGAAGGAAGGCAGGCAAGGCAAGCGGGCATTAGGATTCTGAAATTGCATCCCACTTTAGAGCTATGAGAGAGTGCAAAAAAATAAAATTAATCATGTAACCTTGTGGGTGGCATTAGATGAGCAGAGTTAGAGATTGCCGATTCAACTTAAAAAAAAATAGTTTTGGGGAAACAGCGATAAGCAGGGGTATGAAATGAGGAAGTTGTGAGAACAGCTCAGTCCTTAACGGTGCAATTGTTCTGTGTAGCAAAAGGTAGACAGGAACCAGCTCTTTTTAGCATGTTTTGATACCGTTATTTGTATTCGTTGTATTCACATCGATCGTAACTTTTGTAAAAGTGTTTTTTAATCCCTCTTCAACGAAGAGATCCTAGCTTGCGTGATCTTGAAAGTCATCTGACTTGGGAGAATACGGGACAGCCGTGATCTTCAAAACGTTATCATTGAAATGTTAAAACTCAAACCGAACTTGCATCGAGTTCTTCTTTGGTCCTCTCCAAAGCCAGGGATATTGTTGTATAGACACTGACGGCATCGTTTAAAAACAAAATATTCAGGCTTCTTCTCCTGTTTTTGCTGAACCGGTATTGTTCTTCATCTTCACGTATTCTTAAATCTTGGCCATTTATTATGTAATCCTTCTAAAGGCAGTTCCAGAACAGCAAATGTGATTTTATTCTGCCCTGCATCCTGCCTGTATAATATTGACTTGAAACTTCGTTTTTTTACGTTCGTAGAAATTCTAATGGAATAGCTTTCTCATATTCGTCAAGTGCTCAAATTCCTCTGAACTTAAAATATTAAAAGGCAAGCAATGTTCGCTGTTATCCAGTATTACATATTTTGAAGGCATTGTTTGCAGTTTTGAGAAACAGAACAAATCTATGCAATTCTCCCCCTTTAAAGATATTGGCAGTATTGTGTTAGGATTGATAAACCGGAAGTTTTCCAAGTTTTGAAAAGCATGCAACTGCAGAACACCTTCCTACAACTCACAAGTGAGGACAAATAAGCAGACTTATTTTTCTCAACCCAAATCACTCAAAAGGACCACGATCCATTCTGTTTCACACCAGCAAATGTTTTTACAGGTGCCTTGGACAAATTAAAACCAAATGTATGTTATAAAAATGACCTACTAAATCAACGGTTTGTGCGATTTTGAGTTTTCATTAAAGAAGACACTGCTTTCTTTTGTGCAGAAAAAAAAGTGGATTCTGTTGCATTATTTTTCTTTGGAATATGCTTGGGTCATGATGCAAACCTTGTAGATAAACATCTTTATTTTCTTTTTGACATAATGTGAATCTACCCAGCTGAGAATTAAAATATTGAAGCAATCGGTGGTATTGTATCTTGTGTTCAGAGGGTAAAATACAGTAAAGCTGTACTCGGAAGCATTGTTAAGACTGGACTTTATATCCCAAGAGTAATTGGATCACAGCAAGTGGACAGATTTCAATATAAGGTCCCTCATGTCCTAACAAATCCATGAAATGCACATAATTTTGAAAGACGTTTACTCCATAACTTGCATTTTCACACATCTATCATTCTGTGTGACATATAATGAAACATTTCTAGTCTCGTTGTGAATTTTGGTAGAAATACAATGCACATTTTATGACCTGCCTGTAGTTTTAATGGTGGTGGCAATCAAATTATTTTACAGGCCCATCTTGAATAATGATAGAAGAGAGACAATTTGGGATAGTGGACAAGGCATCAGACTAGAAACCAAGAGGCTGTGACTTCTAGTCTCTCCTTGGGTACTGAGCCAGTCGGTGTTGTGACCTAGGCCTAAGTAGTTATTACCAGACACAATCAGTCCTAAACAAACATATTTTATTAGAACAGCTGAGAATTACTTCATTCTCAGCTTAATCCAAATTAATTCCAAAACAAGTCCTTCAGAAAAAGTCATTTGGCCTTATCACAAACCTTTGACTTCTTTGGCACCCTGCCAAAGGATTTTCTTGGCAAAGCCCCATGAAGTTCAGAAACAAGAGACCCTGACAAGAAACAAATGTAGCAACGTTGCTTTCCTACAAAGACCCCAAGAGCCTTTGCTGCTCTTTTAAGCCTTATGGGAGGGGCCAATCATCTCCTGGCCTTACTCCCGAGTCGTCCTTTTTGCTTTAGCTGCTCTTGTCTTCTGCTCAGCTCTTCGCATGCGTGCACTATGAACAGGCTCCTCCTGTTCCTCTGCCTCTCTGCTGTCGGTCTCTGGAGGCTCCGGAGTCTGTGCATCGCTTCCAGATGGCCCTGATCCCATCTCTGTCTCTGATGCAGAGCCCTCGTCCGGGCCTTCCCCTGACTCTAGAACTGGCCCATTGTCCTCCCCAGCCTCCTCACTGTCCGACTCCGCTGCCAGCTCTGCAGGCTGCTGGTGGACCACAACAGTCAGTTGCTTTTGTGCCAGTCACCCTCAGCACTAGTGAGGAGGCAATGGCAAACCACTTCTGAAGAACCTTGCCAAGAAAACTGCACGGACTTGTCCAGTTCAGGCAGTTGCCAGGAGCCGTTGTGACCCTGACTCTCGAGCCTGTCCTAACAGAGGAAGAGGACTCAGAAGGTGATGGGGAGGAACTGATAAGGCCTCCCTCTCCAGGACCCTCCTCTCTGGCAATGCCTCAGGTTCCATCCAAAGGCCAAGACGAACAGCTTGGGATATGCCAGGAGGAAAGCATATCGGAACAACAACAGATAGGGAGCGAGGATGATGAATCCTGGCTTGATCCCAGGCAGCGTCGGCGGGAGAAGAGGCATGGGAGGGCCAGAGATTGAGCTGAGTCACTGAGCCACACCCCACAAGGAATAAAAGTGGGTATGATTGCTATTCAGGCTTTGTGACGGTCAAAGTTAAAAACCTGAGAGTCACATCACGTTACCTGAAATCTGGCTTGTGCATATTTGGCTAACTCTTGCTTCGTGGATTACTTTTTGCTACTGAACTGGACCGAGGATAAACTCTCTTGCTTACTGTGAGTGAAAACTGACTTGGCAGGCATTTCGCAGTTTACTGCCAAAACTCTTATCTGCAAGGATTTCTAGTCTGATTGCTTAATAAAATTTTGGCAGGCGTGCCTAGTTGTGTGTTTTCCTGTGTGGGGAAGGGGGACAGAACAGGAGCCAGGACAACCCAAAAATTTCTGTGTGCACACACAAATGCCAATAATTGCAGAATTCTCTTTAACTGGAAGTACAATTCATCTGCTGGTGAAATGCAGTTTTTGATAGAAACTTTGGAAACGTAATTGCCAATTCTTGTTTGTTTTTGAAGAGCCCTGTACTGTTTGTATGTTGAAAATATGTTCAGACTCTAGAAAGAGTGCAGAAAAGAGCAACAAAATGATTAGGGGAGTAGAAGCTAAAACATGAACAGTTGCAGGAACTGAGTATGTCTGGTTTCATGAAAAGAAGGACTAGGGGTGCCATGATAGCAGCGTTCCAATATTTCAGGGGCTGCCACAAAGAAGAGGGAGTCGAGCCATTCAAAGCACCTGAGGGGCAGAACGAGAAGCAATGAATGGAAACTTATCAAGGAGAAAATTAACGTAGAACTGAGGAGAAATATCCTTAGTTACAATTAATGAGTGCAGCAGATTGCCTCCAGAAGTTATGGGTGCTCCAACACCGGAGTTTTTAAAGAAGAGATTGGACAGTTATTTGTCTGAAATGAATAGGGTCTCCTGCTTCAACAGAAGGTTGGACTATAAGACCTCTGAGGTCCCTCCCAACTCTTATTCTGTTGTTTCCAAATTAAAACATCGAAATAAATCAAGATTTGATTTGATTTGATTGAATTTTATTTGAAGTTATTCTTAGGAAAACTTTTGGTGATTTTCGCAATGTCACGTGCTGATGATGAAAGGAAGACCATTAACTTATTCTTTAGATTATTCTTTGTCTAATTTTTAATCCCCTTCCTACAAATTAGAAGTTGGTAGTTGATCTACCAAGATCCTGAAAATTTTCCAACCAAGACTTGATTTCTTCAGGTTGAGGGTTTCTACATATGAAGTTTCTTTGCTGACATGTGATATATCTAGCTGAGGGGCATTAAAAACAATGGGAAGTTTATATGCTGCAAAAGTGCCAACTTTCATCTTTAATGAAGAGAATGCTTCCGGATTCCAGCATTAGTAGAAAAAATCTATCTATCTATCTATCTATCTATCTATCTATCTATCTATCTATCTATCTATCTGAATAGCTACATCAAATACTTTGCCTGGAAATATGCCCACTTCTTCTTCCTTACCTCAAAGTATGCCTAAAAGTGAAATTCTCCGGGGTTAGAAAATTGTCAAGGGACAATTTTATCAGTGTGCCATCCAATAAGTGGATATTTTGTAATTGGCTGCCCTCCAGCATTAGGTAGAGGTGCCAGGTGTGCATATGTTATGTTCTCAATTTTTTTGGCCCAGAAAAGTTGGGTACTTTTGCTCTATGTGGGAATACGTACCATGTATTGGTAGAACCTGTGAGGTGATTCCTGTTTTAAGCACATAAACATCCAGTCCACCAAGGCAGACTCAGAGCTGCTCTGAGATTGCTTCAGTCTTGTTTCCAAACGAAAGACCTGCTGATAAGCAAATTGTTATGCTGAGGAGTGGATTTGTTTTAATTCGGTACTGAAGTCCATTAAAAGGATCAGCCAAGAGTGACTTCTTCTGTGTGGCCTGTTGTAATGGTGACCCATAGGAGTTCCTTCTCATCCAACTCAACGTTAAAAATAATTCAGATCGTTAACTTATATTCAATTTAATAGTACATTATTATCTGGGCCATGGTGCTGTTTGAATTAAGAGAGGTTGTGGCCACCATCTTTTCTGACACAGTTCTCTCGATGCTATAGTTGTTCTGTACATGACCTGCTTTCAATTAACTTTTGGTTTGATTGAAGTCTCTTTCATTCCTCTATTTCCAGCTACAAATTAAAAATCCCTGTGTATGAGAATTGGGTTATACAATAGTCTATCTCATACCTCCTGTGATACCTTACCTTGAACCCATCTGAGTTAGCTCTGTTGCTATGCCATGATTACCAAAGATGAACCGTTGTTTTGATCATCTAATCTTCAAGATTTGCACAAGATCCCAGACTAAATAAACCACACCCACCCATTTAACAGTGTAGGTTAAAGTAGGATTGGCTAGCTTGTGGATCAATAGATCTCAAGACCACAGCCATTTGAGTTTGACAGGATAAAGCAGAGGTCTTCAAACTTGGCAGCTTTAAGAGTTGTGGACTTCAACTCCCAGAATTCTCCAGCCAGCTGTGCTGGAGTTGAAGTCCACAAGTCTTAAAGCTGCCAAGTTTGAAGACCTCTGGGATAAAGGATGTTCTTGATTTGACCTGGAGAATAATAATAACCCGGAAGTGATTGCAGTCAAACCTCCAGAGAGATTCGTAGCTGTCATTAACAAATCACTAAAATGTGCTAAATCTTTAGAGATCACAACTGTAGAAAGATACAGAATGTTGTTCTAGCATAAATTTATCAAAATCAATCAAAATATCAAAATATGGGGGAAAATATATTGGAGAGACTTAATGCCAGTGGATAAAATATCCATGAATAAAAGGATTGGTTGTCATTTAAAAGAAGGACCTACACAACCATTCAAATCTCTTTGATCTTTCTAACCTGATTTATTGTTGACCTGTTCCACAAAATTCACATAATCAACCTCGTCCAGCTATTAGAATTCAAACAATAGGGCCATTAGTGGCTTATTTTATGCCTGAATGTATGCGAACAAAGGAAAAACAAATTAGATCTCTAGATTTCTCGTCTCTCTCCCCCATCTCCGGCCCACCCACCCCTCCACATCTCTTGAAAGAATAAAAATTAGCTTAAGGAATTAATACAAAAAGTAAATACAAAATCTAATGATGTTTCTGCCCCCCTCCCTCCTGGTAATCTGAACCATCTGCCTTGGCCTGCTAAGGAGTACACCGCCTTAATCCAGATTAGAGTTGACGAACTGTTTCTGGCATAGAGTTTTCCCTAATACTGTGCCCTAGAAGAGCTGTTCAGGGCTGTTGAAATTTCATTTGTTGATTGGTTCATTCTTTTTTCCCTTCGGGCTGTGGGTTTCCTGGTGGCGTGGCGTGTTTTTTTTGTTTTTTGTTTACCCCACTTGGCAAGGTGAAAAGAAAAAGGGGAGAACATGGCTTTCTTAATGAAAAGTATGTTGAGTAATCAGGTGAAAAATCTGGGGCTTTCTGGAGGGGGCGAAGAAAAGTCAGAAGAAGCAGCCCCTGCTGACCCAGCTGCAGCAGCAGGAATGACCCGGGAAGAATATGAGGAATATCAAAAGCAGGTGATAGAGGAGAAGTAAGTACCCCTTCCTATGTTTTCAGTGTGTAAACTGATTTAGATTATTTGAATTCACAAGACCAGAAATCCAGGGAGGTAGATGCTTTAAACCCTGTGGATTAAGGTTGTACCACTACTTATTCTCCAGAAGCATTTCTAATTTTCCATAGTAGTATCTCCACAGAAATAGGACCCTTTCCTTTGAATGTTCCTCTTCTTCCAGATTTCTAGGTTGGGGAAAGAGGAATACATAATGCGCCCACGATATTTCCTAAATGTAAACACAGTTACAAGCTTGTTTAGGAATGGAATTTCATAGGTTTCTTTAGTGCTCATCTGAATCAAATACTTTTCAGAATTTTTCTTTTCCTGTATTGGTTGGAATTTTTAAAATTTGTTTTGTGTAAGATAGTTAAATCCAATAAAGTTAGATTTACTCTATTTTAAAACAAAAGTACAGAGAAAAGCAACAAGGATGATTAGGGGACTGGAGACTAAAACATAGGAAGAACGGTTACAGGAACTGGGCATGGCTAGGCTAGTGGAGAGAAGGACCAGGGAAGATATGATAGTAGTGTTCCAGTATTTGAAGGGCTGCCACAGAGAGGAAGGGCTCAAGCTATTTTCCAAGGCACTTGAAGGTCAGACAAGGAATAATGGATGGAAACTGATCAAGGAGAGATTCAACCTAGAAATAAGGAGAAATTTTCTGTCAGTGAGAACAATCAACCAATGGAACATCTTGCCTTCAGAAGTTGTGGGAGCTTCATCACTGGAGGCTTTCAAGAAGAGATTGGACTGCCATTTGTCAGAAATGGTGTAGGGTCTCCTGCTTGGGCGGGGGGTTGGACTAGATGACCTACAAGGTCCCTTCCAACTCTGTTAATCTAATCTAATCTAATCTAATCTAATCTAATCTAAATGGCAACTGTGACATGCCTCTTAAAGTCTAAAAGTACTGTGCTCTTCCTTAAAAAATATTTTTACTCTGATGTTTATATAATGACATAGGAAACTGCCTACAAAATCAATATTTTAAATACCAATTAGTGTTTTTTAGGATATGTGCAATATTAGTATCCTACTGTTAGTGGTAATATTAGTATTAGCACTTGACCAGCAAAACAATAGGAAATAAAATGAAAGCATATTGCTACTACTATTCTAGCTACAAAAATAATTGAATTACAAGTCTCTAGGACATCATTTCACTAATGATCAATTACATAATGCTTAGCTAAAGCTACACTGTAAGATGATTAGAGGTGAGAGGTTAATGTTCTATGGAATTTGACTCTCCATAGTTATATTTAGTAGTAGTCCTCTTCACAAGATGGGCCTTGATCCACAGGAAATTTTAAGGGAAATTTTTTTTCTTTCTTGCATGGGAAAATGAAAAATGTGTCCGGGAAGCAAAATAAATCTGTATCTTTCAAGATCTGGATTCATTAAAATACCTTTCATGAAGTTACTTTGTTTCTACTATGGGTATTTGATTTTAATGGTCAGAAGGTGAAGGAGTCAAGTAGCGTCTTTTCAGATTAGCACGTTTTGCTTATGTCTTTTTTAAATAAAATAAAAGTCACCCCAGAGAGCTTAATCGGAGCTATAAAGTCAGCCGTCCCTCCCACTTTTTCTAAAAGATCAATTTTGTCACAAAATTCAACATAGCGAATTATTCAGACATTAAATGACCCATAAAAGGTTGCAAGATGACTCAAGTTCACAGCCTGGAGTAAACCCCCTAGTAGCCCTGTTTCCCGTAACAACTACATTGTCAGTGTTCAACCTATAGCAAGATCATCAAAATATCCCATTCAAAAAGGGTAGATGGTTTAAGGAGCCCTCAAATTATACCTATTGAAATGCTGTAAATTTATATATTGGCAACGTTTTTCTGAAGTGGTTTGCCATTGCTTCCTTCCCAGGGCTGAGAGAAAGTGACTGGCCCAAGGTCACCCAGCTGGCTTTATGTCTAAAGCAAGACTAGAAATCACAGTTGCCCAGTTTCTAGTCTGATGCCTTAACCACTTACCAAACTGGCACCTGCTATAACTATTACTTAGCCATAAAACTAATGGCTCAGTTAAAATGCAACTAAACCAGAGAACATGAGCCTGATTTTCAGAACCATAGATTTATCATTATATAGTTCATTTCAGTTCATAAACTCATTCAAAGACATGAGAAAGCCATAAATATTGGAGCTAGTTCCATACATCTCCTGCTCAGCATTCTAAACCCAATGTCAAATGGACATTCCAATGGAAAGAAAACTTGCTTTCCATCATATGAGGGAACAACAAGTCTTCTTCTCTATTTTTAATTTCATAACTTTAAATGGACACTAAATGAACTGTTGTAAGTCGAGACTACGTGAACTTAGTGTCAGTTGGTTGGGAATAGTATTTAGATAAATACAATTTATATTATATTTTAATTGTTAACCACTCAAAATCGCATTGACAAGGCAGGCAGCCATATAAATCAATATAAATAAACAAAGCTCCAGATTTTGAGGGTTCTTCTATTGATGAGTCTTCTAATACAGCGGTGTCAAACTCAAGGCCCGGGAGCCGGATTCGGCCTGCAGGATGCTTAGATCTGCCCATGCGGCCGCCCTGGAAATAGCAAAGGACTGGCCCAAGCTCCATTTTTGCTGGCAGAGGGTTTCAGGAGGCTGTCCCAGCTGAAAACGGAGTTCATGAGGGTTGCATGTGGTCCCCCTGAGCTCCATTTTTGCTGGCAGAGGGTTGTAGGAGGCCATCCCAGCAGACAATAGAGCTCACAAGGGCCGCGCTTGGTCCCCCCGAGCTCCGTTTTCACTGCAGGAGGCCATTACAGCTGAAAACGGAGCTCAGGTTTTTACTCACAGAGCTCTTGGGCCACCACAGGCGTCCCCTGACACAAGTGACGTCATGCAAGCCATGCCCACCCTGGCCACACCCACCCCGGCACCCTAAGGTCAAACACAACCCTGATGCAGCCCTCAAATCGAGTTTGACACTTCTGTTCTAATAAGATGAATGAATCCAGCGGTTACTTCCAGATGCTCCTTAAGAGTGTCCCTCAGCCTGATGTTTAGCTGGACCTGCTCAGTTGATTCTTACAAAACCTCCCATTTGTGCCTTCAGGATTGAAAGAGACGCAGCTTATGCACAAAAGAAGGCTGGACGAGCTGTTTTGCGGGTTCACTTGCGAGAGAAATACAGACTTCCAAAGGCAAGACCTCTGTCAAAAAATACTGTTTATTACGATCTTGAGAACATATAATATTCTCATAACTCAGTGCAGTGATGAAATCCAATTTTTTTTACTTCTGGTTCTGTGGGCGTGGCTTGGTGGGCATGGTGTGGGTTGGTGGGCGTGGCAGGAAAAGGATACTGCAAAATCTCCATTCACACCCCACTCTGGGGCCAGCCAGAGGTGGTATTTGCCGGTTCTCCGAACTACTCAAAATTTCTGCTACTGGTTCTCCAGAACCGGTCAGAACCTGCTGGATTTCACCCCTGACTCAATGGTTCTCAAACTTGGCAACTTTAAGATGTGTGGACTTCAACTCCCAGAATTCCCTAGCCAGCATGGGCAATTCTAGGAGCTGAAGTACAGATACAGTGATGTATCTGCTTTGCAATTTATCTTTTCTGTCCTTTCTCAATGACCCCCAAATTTTACATGATATGTAACATGCTGAATGTGCCAGCCAAGACTCGGGTTAGATATCTTTTCAGGAAAGATTTTAAATGGCATTTTATTTGTATTGCAAAAATCCACGGCATAGAGATAGAAATGGAAATAAAGCCACAAGGCCAGTCAGAACGATGTACAGGTAGACCTTGACTTATGACCACAATTTAGGACCAGAATTTCTGTTACTAAACAAGGTGGTTGTTAAACAAGTTGCCCAATTTGACATTCTTACTTGCCAACACTTATTAAATGAATCACTGTCGTTGTTAAGAGAATCACATCTTCCACTTACAACCACAATTCAGATTGGAACTTTTATTGCTATGGGAGGTGGTGGTTAAGTGATTAGCATCTGATTCTGCAACATTTTTTTTGCTGCAGTCGTTAAGTGAATCACATGGTCATTAAATGAATCTGGCTTCCCCCATTGACTTTGATTGTTGGAAGGTGGCTGGGAAGGAGTGGTGCAGTGGCCTAGAGAAGGAGCTCTCGCCTCACAATCAGGAGACTATGAGTTCGATCCTAGGTAGTAGCAGATATTTCTCTCTCTGGGAACAATGAATAAATACCGTATCTACTGTGAGCTCTGCATTGGTGACAGAAAAGGCATCCGGCCAGTAAACACTCTGTTCCATTTAGTTGCCCCGACTCCACCCCAATGTAAGGGAATAAGAATGGAAAGGAATGGAATGGAATGGAATGGAATGGAATGAAATGGAATTCTTTATTGGGCAAGTGTGATTGGACACAGCTGCAACCATTGTCAATACATGCTAATTGTCGAGAGCCCAAATTTTGTGAAGGGAAAAAAAGGGTTATTTCTCTTAATTCTCTGCCCTGGGTTTAGTATTCCCAGGGTGTTATAACCTCTTCTGGCGCTTCTGTTATTGGGCACCCTTGGATCATCGTCTAGCCTTCCCACAAAATTGCTAGCATCTCATACAAGGCCATCAAAATCCCAGTGAGACTTTAGGAAGTTTCAGCATTCTTGCCTGAAATTTTGCAAGCCTACCTGATTTCTAAAAATTGTTTTATTTTATTGTGCATCCAGGGTTAAGCTTCTTAAGCATGCTTTATGGTCAGAACCTGACTTACACAGGTAGTTCTTAACTTAGGACCCAAATTAAGATCAGAATATTGGTTACTAAGCAAGGCAGTTGTTAAATGAATCATGCCCAATGTTATGTCTTTTTTTGCCATGGCTGTTAAGGGAATCACTGCAATGAAGTGAATCATGCAGTCATGAAGCAAATATAGCTTCCCCTATTGACTTTGCTCGTCAGAAGCTAGTTGGGATCACAGATGGACTATCACATGATCTTGGGATGCTGCAACTGTTTAAAATACATACCGTGTTTCCCCAAAAATAAGACCCTGTCTTATATTTTTTTGAACCCTGGGATAAGCGCTTGGCCTTATTGCCATGCTCTCAAAAGCCCAATTGGGCCTGTGGTGGCTTGCTCCTGGTTCTCACTGGTTCGCAAGAACCGGTAGTAAAAATTAGTAGTAGTTCGGAGAACCAGTAATAACATTAGCTGGCCACGCCCCCTAACCGGTCCCCGGCCCGGTTGCCGCTCGCTTACCCCACCCACCTCATCAGAGGCTTTTTTTTTTCCTTTTAAAAGCATTTTTTCTACAACCTCTTCGGCCGAAAAAATGCTTTTAAAAGTTAAAAAAAAAAAGCTTCTGATGATTTCGTGGCTCAGCTGGGATCGTCAGAGGCTTCTGAAAGCATTTTTTTCTGCAATCTCTTCGGCCGAAGAGGTTATAGAAAAAAAAATGCCTTTAAAAGCCTCTGGCGATCCTAGCTGAGTTGCCTGATCATCAGAGGCTTTTAAAAACATTTTTTTCTGCAACCTCTTAAGGTTGTAGAAAAAATGCTTTTAAAAGTTAAAAAAAAAAAAGTTGGCCATGGCCACCCAGTCACATTACCCCCCACCAAGCCACGCCCACAAAATAAGCCATGCCCACAGAACCAGTAGTAACAAATTTTAGAACCCACCCCTGAATTGGGTTTGTTATCAGGGGATGTCTTATTTTAGGGGAAACAGGGTACTGGTTGCCTCCTCTGTTGACCTTCTTTTATCTGCTTAATCAGTTTGACTTGAACAATAATTGGTTCGGTTTTTTTGAAAGTGTTTCTTGCAATGTTCGCTTTTTACATTGCTTTTCCATTTCAAAGGTAACAGAAATAAAATTTGCAAATGGAGAAATGTTACACTCTTATCCGAGAGCAATTGCCACTGAAGTTACTCCTGATTAGACAAACATTGAACTGCATTGTGAGAAAAGACACCAAAAAGATTGTAGACCATGTGTAAAAGGGCAGCTATAAGGAAGCCCATCTACAGTCCGAGAAACAAGGTAGCCTCTTCCCTCCCCATCTCTACTCATCTTACTCCTGTCTAAATACTACTCCCTATTGTAATTTAGGGTTCTTTTTTTTATTGATTTTTTAATGACATTCATGCCATTAATATGTAGGTCCTTGTAGGCCCGCCATTCAAGTTCTCACAACTTTTTGGTATAGAGACAGATATACATATGTAGCAGGGGTGAAATCCAGCAGGTCCGGAGAACCGGTAGCGGAAATTTTGAGCAGTTCGGAGAACTGGCAAAGACCATCTCTGGCTGGCCCCAGAGTGGGGAGAGAATGGGGATTTTGCAGTATCCTTCCCCTGGAGTGAGGTGGGAATGGAAATTTTTCAGTATCCTTCTGCTGCCACGCCCACCAAGCCACACCACACCAAGCCATGCCCACAGATCCAGTAGTAAAAAAATTTGGATTTCACCACTGATATGTAGATACTTAACGTTAGAGTAGCTATTGATCAATATATCTTTACTTGACCTAGTGTTTCTTAAATTTGGCAACTTTAAGATGTGTGGGCTTCCAATTCCCAGAAATCCTCAGCCAGCCAAGCTGGATGGGGATTCTGGGAATTGAAGTCCACACATCTTAAAGTTGCTAAGGTTTGGGGTGGGGGGCGAGAAAATGACCTGGGCCATCCTTTCCTAATCTTCTGCCCTTCAGATATGTTGTTGGTAGAACTATTAAGATTCTCCCTCTTTGGGAATTTGGCAGATGATTTTTTCAGCGCTCCAGATATTATTGGAATCATCCACCATGCTAAAACCATTTACTGTGCCTTTGAAAATTAAGGGTTTTTTTTTCCCCAAGAGGAACTAATCTGAAATGCTTTAATATAAATAGTGCAGGAATCAGGAGAGAATAATTTAAATGGAAGACACAAACAGTCTGGCGTATACAAAGGGGCATAATGAATAAGGATAGTCCTCAACTTATGATCACAATTGAGCCCAAAATTTCTGTTGTTAAGTGGGACATTTGTTAAGTGAGTTTTTCCCCATTTTACGACTTTTCTTGTCACCGTTGTTAAGTGAATCACTGCAGTGGTTAAATTAGTCACACGGTTGTTAAGTGAATCTGGCTTCCCCATTGACTCTGCTAATCAGAAGGTCACAAAAGAGGATCACGTGACCCTGGGACACCGTAACCGTCATAAATGAATGAATTTTGATCCCTTGACCATGGGATTGCTGCAATGTGTGAAAAACGGTCGTAAGTCACTTTTTCAGTGTAATAACTCCAAACGGTCACTAAACAATCTGTTGTAAGTTGAGGACTACCTGTAATGAATAGATCTTGGACTGGGGATACCTGAGGTTAGACTCCTCAGCTTCACTTAGCCTCTCAGAGTTACTCTGGGGAGAAAATGGATTTGTTTCAGTGGTGAAATCCAAATTTTTTTACTACCGGTTCTGTGGGTGTGGCTTGGTGGGCGTGGTGTGGCATGGTGGGCGTGGCTTGGTGGACATTGCAGGGAAAGGATACTGCAAAATCCCCATTCCCTCCCCACTCCAGGGGAAGGATATTGCAAAATCTCCATTCCCACCCCACTCTGGGGCCAGCCAGAGGCGGTATTTGCCGGTTCTCTGAACTACTCAAATTTTCCACTACCGGTTCTCCAGATCCTGTCAGAACCTGCTGGATTTCACCCCTGATTTGTTTCCATAATTCTATCTTGAATTTCCTGGAAAAATACAATAATAAGTCTATTTTGCTAACTCATAAAAACGGAGACAGCATGCTGTGGTTACAACAATGCCTGTTAAACATTTTGCGCAGATGTTTCAAGAGGTACTTAGGAAGCCATAATATGAAGCCATTGAAAAGTGCAAGATGTAAAGCTTAAGGGTATTAAGGGCAGTCTTACATGACAAAACATGTCCTCAATGAGCCCATTAAATCCTATTAATGGGATTGTCAGGAAAGATTTGTCATTGGAAAGATGTTTTCATCCATGAATCGTGTAGCTTGTTCCTAAGTGAAGCTTACCATGTTGATCAAATTGCTTCCCCACCCCCACCTCCTTGATTGGGAATAGTGGGAAATATCTGCTATCTAACCGAGCTGTGCTTGCTCCAAAAACGATTTTTTAAAAATGCTTTGATGTGCAGGAAGCAGGAAAGTAGCAGCTCTTTAAAGCAACTGCATCTTTTTGCAGAGT